ATTATTATCTAATAATGTTGAAAATCTAGAAACTAATTATTTAGCTAATGGGTACAAGGCAGTGCCTAAATTTGATACAATAGGGCAGAAAGGAATACCACATTTATGAATTTTGGGAAGAGCATATTATTTGACACAATTTGCAACAGATGGGATAAGCAAATGATCTAAGTGGGTTGAAAGGATTTGTGAAGATTTGATTGCAGTTTTAATTTTTGAGAGGTCTGCTGGTGAAGGGTCTTTAGGGATCGGATTATATGGTCCTGAGTTTAGTGACACATAGATATAAGTGTTCTTGTCCATGACGACTATCATGCCACCTTTGTCAGCCTTTAAAATGATAAAATCTGTGTTAGAACGAATTTCATGCATTGTAGGTCTCCTGCATTGAAATTGATGAACTAATTTTCCTTACTCAACTCTGTTTGAAACAAGCACATTTTGTTTTCCAAAATAAGAAGCAAACTGAGGGATTGGCCTCTTAGTCCCATCCTTCCTGATATCTACATGCATTATTATGAATCTCAATTATTTAAAACTTTAAACTTCCGATTATGGTTCCACTACATAGACTATGCTTTTACCCTGTCTGATGGTAGTAAAGATGATTTAAATAAAGTTTTTTGAGTAAAGAATCCTGCTATTCAGTTCACATATGAACTTCAGACATCCAAATCTCTTCCATTTCTCGACATTTTGGTCACACATAACATACCCAACTTCACTACTACTGTTTACTGTAAACCTTCATCGGTTTGCCTTCCACCACACTTCAGATCATATCAAGCGACTAAACAGAAGTTAGCTTCATTTTATTCTTTTGTTTTCCATGCTCTTCAGATTTGCTCCTCTGTATTGGCTCTTGATCAAGAACTAAATTATTTAAAAGCAGTTCCTATTTACAGGGGCTTTTCACCCAACATTCTTAATCAAGTGGTTAAAAGATTCTCATTTCAACACATCGAAAGGCACCCTCACATTTTAGGAGATTATAAAAATTCTGTTGGCCTAACCATCTAGCTATAAAAGTGCTATTATGCAGAAATTTTAACTTTTGGGTCTTTTTTCTTCTTTCAATAAAATTCCAAAATCCATACTCAAGGACTCCTTTCCGAATATGAATTTCTGGGGTATTTACAGGATTCCTTGCCAGTGTGGTTTAATTTACATTGGTAAAACTATGAGAGCCTTAAAATTTCACGTTAAAGAACATGAGGCTTATGTTAGAAAAATGAAAATGCATAAATCATCTGTTGCCCAGCACTGTTGGGCAGGAAATCACACTTCCCAATTTTCTGCAGTCAAAAGTATTCAAAAAACATCTTCCGTTGGAGAATTATATTTTGTAGAGGCATATCTTATTCATTAGAGTTTTTCAGTGCTAATTAACAATCCCAATTCTAATCCGTTAGTACCCGCAGCTTTTAAAGAAATTCTTGCATAATTGTATTCATTTTTCATCAGTAGTGTGTGCCAGTAGTTTGATTTCTTTCCGGTCATTCTTATCACCATATTCTATCTCGTTTATTTGCACTTAGGCAGCTGAAGCAGGTGGTTCTGTATTTAAAGCATTGAAACTAATCGTGTAAAATTTACAAACATTAACACTGATTCTTATTGTTTAACTTCTACAATAATCGGTATTCACTGTGCTATTTTAACCTAAGTCACTTTAGTGTATTTTAAACTATTCTGCCTCCAGTTTTGTACTGTAAACTGATACATTGTCTTCCTGTTATATGATGCACTTGGCAGAACACTTTGATAGAACTGGTCCATTGATAGCCCATGTCAGTGAAGTGACTGTGAACACTCATTGTTCCTAGATCCTTCTACAATACTGCAGCAGAAACTATCACCAATCCACCCCAATACCTCACCGTGTTCACAAGAGATGTGTCTCTGAAAGAGCCATCCAAACATAAATTTTCCAGGAGCAAGAAAGATGGTGAATGTAGATATGCTGCTAAAAGGTACACATTTTGAGTTATGTAATGCCCATGTTTTGCACTGATGCTAATTAAACCATTGTTTGGAATTGATGCTGGTTATCAGTGGCTTTGCCATGGGTGTTTGACTATGAATATTAATCCTGCGATGCTCTTTTTAGCCAGTTTTTGTAGAAATGAATGAGTTCAAGAAAATTTTAAGTTCTGATTTAATTTAATATGTTGTTGCTTTATGCTTTGGAGCTACAATTTTTTTAATATTCTTTTCAGATAACTTCTTCATACTTTAGTAAGTACTCTGTTTTTTAGATGAAGCTCTCAATAATTACTCCGATTGAATGAAGTTCTTTGTTTTTCTAGTTGTACAGAACTAAGTTTCAGTATTGTAATTTCTAAAGTAAGTACTCTGATTAGATGAAGCTCTTTGTTTTTCTAGGTGTAGAGAACTAAGTTTCAATATTGTTACCTTGAATTAGAAAGAAATGCTGTCTTACAACAGGTACACTGGTCAACACGCTAACAATTTATCCTGTTTTGATCTCCAGTTTATTTCCCACTTATGTCCTATAAGGCTTTGTTCAGTGAGGGCTTTGTGGTCATAAGAGATGTAAGCCAAGCTTCATTGATAAGCAACCAGACCTTGCAGTGTGACAAAAATTGGTATAAGGATTTTACTTAACTATCCTATTGTAATGACTTATGCTAACTTAGCTTAAGAACCAATCAAACAGAATAAACTGAACATGAATTGACATTTAAACTATAACTGAACATGAATTGAGATTCAAACTATGGTTTTGCTAAGTCAGCTGCACATTGATGCAGTCATATGAACTATCTTATCTTCCCTGATTGGGTATGGCTTAAACCCTGCTACACAAGTGTCTATGGATTTAATAACATTTATGCCTTAAGCCTATGACAGTAATGATGATTAGACTATTGAATAAATGGGCTTTAATTTTCTGTCTTTTAAGGTAATCCCTGTCATACCACTAAAAGCTCTTATTTCTTGCGTGGTTATTGTTGATGGAATTTAAGGTCATTCAGAGTTCCCAAGTGGAAGTGAACTGCATTGAAATTTGGAGTACCTATATTTGTGTAGTATTTAATTTTCATTGTCCAGCATTTATATCTTTGCTGAATAAATGGATTCGTTGATATACAATTTTAAGTACTTCTCTGTGTTGTCTTATTCTTCTTTTTAACTTTCGTCACATTGAACATCGTCTGGTGAAGTGTGAATTTCATTGATTCTAAGTTTGCTGTGATGAGAGAATTCCTCAGAAAACTTGAACTTAATGGCCCTGTTTCAAATTGGTATTGTGTTTGCCGCCGAACTCTGCAAAGACAGTTAAGTTGTGCGCTCAGTTAGTACAGTGATTTGATTTGAATTCTTTAATTTGATCACCTCAAAGTTTCAGCATTAATGTTTCCCATATATGTATTAGATGCAAGACTTAGAGGTCTTTCCATAGTCAAATCAAGATACAAATTTAGTATTTTTAGAATGGAAATATTTTGCAGGTCAGAACATAACTATAGTCAAAAGTCGTTAATTCGGACACCCATAATCCGGACCTTAAAGCTACAAACTTTCTGCGTAAGACCTTTACGCCTGCGAATATGCGCGTGTGCAAAATACGTTTATGTATGCGTGTTTAATGTATAACGGACGGTATAAGCTAAGCTAAAGTTATCTAATTCAGTTAACGTTGCAGATTGCGTTGTTCCTTAATCTTCGAATTGGATCCGGCTTATTATTTTTTGCAGACGTTAGAGCAATTTTATAAAAGTAAGCTTGAACTTTCGATTATGTCAAATAGAATTTCCAATATATATTTACTAATACGTAAAGGATCTACCAAAGCGAAAGTATGTTTCGAAGTCCATTAAACAAAAGTGGAATTGCTGCAAAAAGTGACCTAACCGTTCCGAAATCTGTTTATCAATTTCACACTGCTCTGCGGCGGGGGATGGGGGGGGAACGGCGCACAATGAATTGGAAGTTGATCTGTCAGCACTATCCCTATCTTCAGGGCAGATGTTTTCAACGCCGCGGCACACAATAAATTGGAAGTTGATCTGTCAGCACTATCCTTATCTGCAGGGCAGATGTTTTCATTTTATTTGGCTTATAATTCCTTACTAAATGTAATATTTTATCTCGATGTATTCCGTCTTTGATATGATTTAAATCAAATTCCTCGTCATTATAATTTGCTTCTGATAGTGAAGAAAGTGACAGAGAGTTATTGAAAACGAAAAAAGTTCGATTGACAAGTTAGTCGGTATTCTCGACGCAGCAATTACAGGATTTGAACAGTGGAAGTTTGTAACTGAGCAAGAGATTATGTCTGTTTATAGAATTAAAGAGAAAGTATTATCACATAAAAAACGAAGCAACTTAAACAACTTACATTGAAAGAAATGTTTAATAAAGTTAAACAAGTAAATATTAAGCTTTTTTTTTTTTTTTTTTTAAATTTTGATACCCTTTAGATCATAATTGTTCTTTATTTCATAAATTACGGTTTCATATTTTTAATTTTATAATTTCTGCATGCCATCTTACCAGATTTAAACTGATGATCTATAATCCGGAAAAATCGATAATCCGGAATCGCCGAAGACCCGACGAGTCCGGATTAACAACTTTTGACTGTACTGCATTATATGTAACTTATGATAGCCAATTAACACATATAATGCATAAAGGTATGTAAATTTAATTAAAATTTTAAATTTACTCAAGAATTTGTTGATAAAAGGAAGAGAAGCTGCCCATTTCTTTTTATTACAGAAATAAAAAATATGTTTAAAGATGATGAAAAAACAGAAAATCCTCTATTTTTATCTCTGCTGATACCAATAGTTATGAAAAGTTTTATATAAGAAAATATAAAAAACTGGTTTTGTTTATTAGCTTCAGTCAATATATTTTGCATAACTATGAATAAAATAATGATTACTCTGTTGTAGATGTAGTTCTGTCATTTTAAATTTTGTTTATTCTTCATAATGGTTGAATTTTGAATATCTATTTTTCAGGTGGTGCTGGTGGGAAAGGAACTTGGGGAAAGCCTGGGAGTGAATTGATGGTGGAACATGAGGATATTATATCAGATGTTAGGGATCCTAACTATGATTTTGAAAATCAGGTATTCTTTAATACATACATTATTAAAAAGGGAAAAAATGGAAAGTAAATAATAATGTGTCAGAAACCATTAAGCGTAAATATGTGTTTAAATGAAGCTATGAAATGTAAAAACTGGATTTTGATTTTACTTTGAATAATAAATCATATCTTCATTTGTTGTAATCCATCATGTTTCAAGACTTTTTCTTAGTACTTAAAAATTTAACAGAGTTTTAGCATAGATTGTTTTGGTCAACTCAAGTTTATAATGGCCTATTAGAGACCAACGAAAAGGATGTGGTATAAAATAGATATTGTATTTAATGTTACTTAAAAATTGGCAACAGTCAGTATGTTATTCCATTAAAACTTAAATAAATTGATGCTGCAATTTATAAGGTGAGATATAGTTTTAAATTAACAAACAACGAGAATTTTGTTATATAAAAAACTAGTAGTGGGAAATTTCTCCTTAGTTCATTCAGTCTACTGGGAAATTAACTCAAGTAGAACAATTTTTTATTTTATTTATTTATTTGGTAACATATATAAGCATAAATGAATCTGTTTCATTAAAATCTGCCGCCCAGATGGTATAAGTGGTTAGGAGAGCCTACTCCGATACTGAAGGGCCCGAGTTTGAATTCCAGAGAAGGCATGGCTGTAATTATCCATCTCTTTATAGGAGGTGTTAGTGGCATATCTATTAGGTGCTCCCAGAATAAAGTGGCCAAGCCTAAGTCAGCTAAATGCCCATCAGTGGGGAGGGAAATCTCCATTCTGAATTGTGTAAAGCGATTGCTGATTTATCCGATTTTCAAGAATGTTAATTAACCCACCAGTGGCAGAGTGGCAAAATCACTAAACACTGGTAGTTTGGTCTGGGGTTCGAATCCCGGGAACAGGTTGGCAGCATTGGCATTTTAGTGATTTTCTCCATGTGTAACATGTATACAAACCATTTTCCATTAAAAAGTCTTCCACGAAGATATCGTTTTCTTAGGCAGATATTCCTTAAGTGATCATCTCTTGATAAGCATAGTGTATTCAAGGTCATTCCATGCTATCTTCCAGTCAGAGAGGAAAAAATACATTGAACAATAGATTTTTTTGTTATTCTTATTACAGTACATAGTTATATGGAAAATCCTACAGGTACAATTTGATTTGCAATGAAACTGTAATGCTATGTCGTGTTTTTATTTAGTAAGCAAACTCTAGGTGATTCTGGTGTATAACTAACACACAGGTTAGGTAATATAAGCATTAAAAATGAACCTTTAGCTATGAGTACTGGACAAGGACTAGATAAATAGAATCAATGCTCACAGAAATTAGTAAGTATGCTATAATTATTTAAGTATGCTTGGCATTTTCCTAGCTGAAGTTCTGTGAAGGCCATAAAAAAGTTTAATGTATTTACAGAACCTCCCTACTTACACTGCTGGAACTATTTTCATTAAAATCTCTGTTTTGAGAAACTTTATTACTGTACATGTATAAGGTCAGCGTTTGAGAAAATTAATGGATTGTTTTGATGACTGCAAGAACTGACGATATGATATAAATACTTGATATGAGTCTTCGCGATGGAGCTTTTCTTAAGAAAATCTTAGTTCCGACTGTTTTGGTAAAAATGTTATCAAGACGTACTAAATGTTCATTCCAGCTGTTTGAATAGACCACTATGTCATCGACGTAGGCTCAAATCAAAACTTTATATTTAACAAATGTTTGGTCATAACTCTCTGGAACATTGCTGTTCCCTTGCATTGTCCAAAAGGCATGACTTTAAACTAATACTGAGCTTGATGTGTCTTGAGACATGCTAACTCTTGGCTTTATCTTTCCAAGGGTATGGCTCAATATCCCGAGTATCCTGAGTAAATCGATGGCTGATAACACATTCGCTTTTCCAATATGGAACAGTGTTTTCGAGTCCATAGAGAAGTCATTTGGTTTCATTACTGCATTTAGGGATCTAAAGCCTGTACATAGACAAAGAGCATGAACTGGTTTTCCTCTCTTGAGAGTACTTTTGTTTGTTTTTTGCAAAGCTGTCATTTTCTCCTTTAGAGAAATACAAATGTACAGTTTATTTACAAAGCTTACACTGATTTGCATTATTAACATTATTTCATTTAGGAGGTGGTACATATTTCCCTTTCATTGCCTTGATTTCTGACCCCTGTTTCTGTCTGATTACGGTACCTCATCAGTTTATGTTCTAAAAAAGTTCTACCCTTTAAATAAACCAATTATCACAGAGTTTGGCAGTTTGTTTTGGTCTCAACCAGGTATCCAAGTGTTCGATTCTTACATAACTTCACATTTTCAAATCTAGTGCACTCAATAACTTTTAACTAGCTACTAATTCATTGTGTTTCAGAATCTCTCAGCTTTCTAAGTTCACACTAAAATCCCAATTTGCTGTTAGTCTGCTCAAAAACTGTATATGTTTCTCATTTTACGTCCATGTTGAAAAGAAAGTCTCAAGGCAAGCTTTTGGGACTGGCTAAAATTCGTATAAAACAGTAATTTTTTACTTTTTTTCTGGTAGTCTTTCATTTCTTGCATGTTTACGTAAACCACTAAATTCGCCACCCATTCAATTACAGATTAAGTAATATGTCCACTTTTAACTCTTTCTTCACCTGTTTCATTTCCAATGCTTCTCAAGTGAGGAAAAAATAAATTTCAGATTTTAGGCTGACTCAGTAGTGCTAGGGTTATCCTAATGCTTCTTGTTAGGATTTCTAGCAAATTAACATTAACTTATCCATCCCAGCCTGTGTTTGCATTCCTAGCATCTTAATGAATTTTCATGATTTCCAACTGTTTGCAAGTTTGAATCTCCTTTTTTCTGATTCTAACATTCCTTCTTGTTCTGTTCTTGAGCAGTCCCTTTTACTTTCATTTTCTCATTTATCCCATTCTGTTTGCTTATTTGCCATGAAAATTAAAAAATCTGCAACAAAATTTAAATCTTTTTTTTAATTCTGCATTTTTTTCGAGTAACTTCTTGAAATCAATTAATTTATGATCTACTTCAATGTTTTCACTTAATTCGCCCCCACAACTAAATCTTCCTTTCTCAAGTCTTTAATGTTAAACATTTTTCTTGCAACTAATTCATCTAGTTACATAAATTACCAAAACACTGCATATATACTGTGTCCAACCACTCGCAGTATCTTCATGGAAACGAATCATAATCTTCAGCTGCTTCTATATATTATTTTATTTTTTATTTTTAACAACAGGAAAATGTTCAAAATCTTCTTACTTTAGAATCACGCTTGAATCATTCCTTTTGTTTTTCATAAGGGAACATGTGATATCCCCCTGTCTTCTCTCATCAACTCAAATTTATGACCTCTTCATTTTTTAATATTTATTCAAGCACTTACACAGTTACACATGGATTCACTAAACTACACTACTGACAAAGGAACTACATACAATAATTAATGTTATGTACAATGTAATTCATTATAATTATTGGCTCACATGAGCCCTTCTGTATTCCAACTTCTCTCGAGGTTTGTTGCTGAAAACTAAACTTTTGCTGCCTATCTGACTGAGTGCTAGTGCCCATGATGCATTTTGTTGGTTGACATCACCAATACATCAGATTATATTTAATAGTGTAGTAAAATTTGCTTTTATTTGCATCTAAATATTGTATGTAGTCATTTCTGTAATGAATACATTTGTTTGTAACAGACTGTAAATTCATTTTATTTCCTAAATGAGTTAATATTTTTAATTATTATTTTTATTTAAATGTTATATGTATACCTTGTTCATCTTAACTCGGTGTAATCTCTGAAATATATGTTCTGTTTGTGTATCTTCTATGTGTCTTATGTATGTAATCTGTATTCTTTTACTTTATTTTTATTTATTTTTTATTATTATTACACAGGAGGACTGTGAATTTGAAGCTATTGCACCAGAGTTAAATACTGAAGACTTGGAGAAAACTGTTGATCCCGCAATACATGAATATTTTGAACATGGTGATACACAAGAAGTTATAGTGAGTATTACTTCACCAGTAAGTAAAACCTGATAATGAATTAAAATAGAAAGCTGAGCAAACAAACATTAATTGATTATTTAGCAATTGTGTATTTGTTAAAAATAGTACAGATTAGTAGGAAAGAGGAACTAAATGACTGATTATCAATTAAACATAAATGAAACCATAAAATGTCTTGCTTTTTTGTAGAAATACATTGATATGCATAAAATTTCAAGAAATTAAGAATTTATTATGACATTACATCTTAACATTTAGAAAAGTACTTTTTTAAGAGAAATGTGGTATCCATGTAAACAACCCATTCTAGTGTGAAGTGCCCTCAGAATACCTGTTTTTACTCAGTGGTTTTATCCTTCCAGATTTATTCCTTATAGCAAAGTTTAACACACACACACACCACACACACAAAAAAAAAAAAAAAAAATAAATAAAGTGATAAACCTACATTTTTAGAAAATTCGCATAAAGCAGTTTTTTTAAATGAACAAAATTATCACATATTCACTTTCAAAGTAGTATAAAATACTGTAAATATGATTGCTGTAATAATCTTGTCATTTCTTAAGGGACTGAGAGAATACTTTTTTAGTTCGTGTCATGTTTTCTGTACAGCGTATAAAAGTTATGTTCATCCTATTGTTAAATATGGTAATGAGGTGTTTATTACTGCCTCAGAGTCTTTTAGAAGCAAACTGGATATATTCCAAAACAACATATTGCGATTGATCACTGATGCCGTAAAATTCACTCCTATTGTTGGTATGGAATTACAGTCAGATTTGGAGCCTTTAAATGAAAGGTGCCAAAATAGTGCTATGAATCTTCTTGAAAAAATCTGAAGAAGAAGAAAAAAAAATTATAATTACTACAGACCAGCAAGTGGAAGAGTAAAAACTCATACATCCTTCCTTCGACTGTATATGATCTTTATGATAACTACAAAGTTCCTACACCTGATTGTAATGTTTCTCACAGAGGTGGAATTTAAATTTAGGTTTACCTAGATCTTATTTAGAATGTCAACGATCAGCTTTCCACTCTGAATGAGTACCCTCCAGACAAGTGGTTCCATGTTTACACAGATGGTTCAGTGAAAAATGTCAGTGCTGGAGCCTGTTCAGATAATTTTAGTGTTAGCTGTTATGTTGGGAAGCACTGTGATTATTTTGATGGAGAGGTAGCAGCTATAACATATGCAATTGTTAAATTGAAAAATAGCCTAAATCAAAATATTATGTTTTTCATGACTTCACAAGCTGCTATTTTGTCACTTACCATTTCTGACTATAATGAAAATACCCAGGGGTATTCTTGTACACTGGTGTGCAAAACTTAAGCAACAACAGGTTTTTTTGCCATAACTCAATAATCAACTGATAATCAACTGAGAGACATGAAATGCAGAAATGAAGGAGAGTATTATGTACGTAAAGGATGACGAAAGCATCGGAGCTGAAAAAGGAATACAATGCATGCAATATGGAATCAAACAAAAACAAGCTTTATTGAACACATAGTATCATGACTCATGATTGTCTATCCAAGAGGAAGAACAACAAGCTGATGTTCCTTAATATGGGATATGCCCTCCCCTCACTGCAATGGTTGCTTTGAACCATCTGCGCATACTCAGAACCAGCTTGCAGTAGGAGTGCCCATTCCTAAATCAGCATCTGTTTAGTTGTTGTGTGTTCTCCGGAGGATGTAAGCGTGCTGCAATGCGACTCCCCAAAGCATTTCACACATGTTCGATGGGATTTAAATCTGGGGAGTACGCTGGCCAATTCATTCGAGTGATATCTTCACTTTCCAGTAGCTCCTCAACAGCAAGAGTGATGTGGCCATGCATTGTCATCCATAAAAATTAAGTCTGGGCCAATGGCACCTCGGAACAGACGCACATGAGGAAGGAGTACCTCCTCACAATAGCGATCCCCGATATCAAACCCTCTGTCGAAAATGTGAAGATAAGTTCGCCTCTTCAGCATAATGCCTCCCCAGACAAGAACTCCAGGACCATCGTTTCGGTGTCTTTCCTTCATGTTACTGGGATAAAACCGGGTCCCGACCTCTCTCCAAATCAAAACACGTTGAGAATCACTTCTGGTACTAAACCGACTCTCATCCGTAAAGAGGATACGACTCGATTGATCAAGTGTCCAGTTTTTGTGCTCTCTGCACCACAGTAAACGGTGTCGTCGGTGGCCAACTTTCAACGGGAGGCAGCGTTCAGGACGGTGGGTGAATAGGCCCCCTTTGTGAAGGCGTCTGGCCACAGTAAACCGCGACACTTGCCGCCGTTGCTGTACAGAGTTGCTGAGCAATGATGCTTGCTGACTGCTGTTGGCCTCTTTTCGCCTGCAGAACGATATATCGGTCATCCCCTGCAGTTGTCGTTCTCGAGCGACCACCACCAACCCTTTCTAACAGCTGTCTGAACCTGTGGTTTGGAAAGCTTTCCAAGCGCGCAAAATGACACTTTTGTTGATTCTGAACTCTGCCGCTACATTGGTGACAGTACACCCCTCCTACAGCTTTCCGATCATTCTTCTACGTGTGAAGTCGTCCAGGTGATTTCTAGCCATATTTCACGAACTGACTCACTGGCACTTGCAGCGAATATGTTGAATTGCGTCTCCGTCCTTCCTTTTATTCTACTGTTGCGCTGCGCGTGCCAACATCATGCGTTTTGTGTATGCTCACGTCGCCTCTCACGTTTCGCACACCAGTTTAAAATGAAACTTTTTTAGCTAAGGGAAGACAGAAAGAGCATTGTCTTTCAGTGGATTCCAAGCCATTGTGATATTTTTGGAAACAAGCTGGCAGACAGACTTGCCAAGGCCGAATCATTTATAACCCAACCCGATTCCCCTTTGTTTAATATTAAAAGAATTATACATAATAAAATGAAAATTAGCAGAGTATTCTTATATGTGTAATGCAGCAATGGATAAGTGGAATATCCTGCTCAGCAAAAGAAATAAAATCCCCACTTCCTCATCTCGGGCTGTTGGAGTTGCTTGCTTTTGTTTGACACTGGGACATGATTATTTACAGCAACATTTACATTGGATCAGATTTATGGATTCACCTTGTTGCCCTCTTTGTCATCAGGGTGCTATGGATGGTGAGTACCTCAAGACCTGCCTTAATATTTTAGTTTATTACAGACAACTCTATTGCTGCTAATTTTTACCCTTGCTTTTTTTACACACACATTATTTTATTGGGCTGCTCCTCAACTGATGGCAGAAATACCTAAAACTTGCATAGCATTAAAAAAAAATCATTACTGATTTCAGAATATCATTGTCATATTTACTTCCATGAAGCATTTCTACTATTTAAATGCCAGCAGTTAATACTGGCTTTTAACGAAAGTTTCCTGCCACCTCAAATATTGCATCTGCGCAAGCAGTTCATGTTGGCATGTTTAATCATAGTTTGTCAAATGATGTTTGGCATTTAAAAGAAAGAGACTGACTTTAGAACACTGTGTTGTAAAATTTGTAAAAAAGTATATTATCATTAAATACAAGGTGTCTGAAATGGAACTATCATGCTATCAGATTAGAACCATGATTTACTTACCGTTCTGTTGCAAAAAGTCTACAGAATGTCACCAAACCATGTAACAGCTTTAGGTACTAATGTTGTATTATATGACACTGTGAAGGTTTGGTATCAAAAGTTCAAAAACAAGGGCATTCAAGAAGCAAAGCACTCTTGCCGCCCTACTCATGTCAATGAGGCCCACCTGTGAGAACATGTAGAAAAAGATCAGAATGCAACCACTCAGTAACTTGCTAAGGATTTAGACATTAGTACCATGTCTTACTGTGCATCGTATAAGCCTGGCATATAAGTTCAATTGCTGGGTGTCGTCTGAGTTGACTTAAGTAGTTAAGGACATACATGTTCAGGCCTGCACTAATCTGCTTGAATATTAACCCTCTGAGCAGCCAGGGTTTTCTCTAAGAAAGCACAAATTTCCCAAAACTACTATGAGAACAAATTATTTTTTTTTATTTTAATGCAAAAACTCTCCCGGTATTTCATACCTGGATTGTTTCTTTTGATATATGCCTTAATTTCGTTGACATATTTTAATATGCACGTGTATATACGTTCTTACAGATATCACAATAAATATTCCAGGCCGTATATATACGGCCTTGCCTCTTAGAGGGTTAATGCAAGGAAAAATTCTGGTCTGAATCATGAAAAGTGGATTTACTTCAAAAATGCAGGCAGAAAGGTGGTTTGTCTGTGCCCGGTAAGCCCATTGACAGATCACAAAAAGTAATTTGACTAACAATCAGGTCATGCTTTGTATCTGGTGGGATTGCTCATGGTATTATCTACAAAGTGTGTCTGGAAAAAGGTAAAACCCTCGACAGTAAGGTGTACAGCGAGATGCTGATCCATATTGACGTTGCTATCAAGGAAAAATGTTGAACTGAGTTCCGGTGCAAAAGGGTAATGTTCTGTCAAGATAATGCAAGATGACATGTGTCTGTATTCACCGGCTGGACACTGTACGGACTCGAATGGAATCTTTTGCCACACTCACTACGTAGCCCCGACATCGCTCCTTTGGATGACCCCTTTTTTCACACCTGCAGCTACATCTTGCTGGTACTACCTTCCATTATGTGTGGGACATCTGAAATAAGGTTAATATGTTTTTGGACTCTCGGGTACCAAGTTCCTGGGCCAAAGATTTTGAAAAGCTACCAAAACATTGACAGGAAATCATAGATTTGGGTGGTGATTACTACCTGCACTAAAGGTACTACTTTCATGTTTTTTCTCCCCTAACTTTATTACAAAAAATTTTTTTCCATAAAACTTACATCACATCCAGATGAATATCTTCTCCAATGATGTATTTTTCTCAAATAATTGCCCTTCTTTATTTGAAGATTTTAATAGTCATTCAAATATTCTTTTGGTTTATTGATGGATTATTAAGATGCTTGGATTCAAGATGC